CTGGTCCACTAGGGCCACCCCTTACACTTGCTCCTCCGCCGCATCTTCCGGGACCACCTCCAGGTGCCCCACCGCCAGCTCCACATGTGAATCCAGCTTTCTTTCCTCCACCAACTAACAGCGGCATGCCTACATCAGATAGTCGAGGTCCGCCACCAACAGATCCATATGGCCGAGCTCCTCCATATGATAGGGGTGACTATGGCCCCCCTGGGAGGTGAGTTAGTATGTAACAATGAATATTTGCTCAGTGAAAAAGAAAAACAATGATTCTGGGTAATCTACCAGTAAGCAGGAGGATTGCTGTTGCTGTGAGGTTGAAGCCACCCTGGACTGCATAATAAGACCTTGTCTCAAAAAAAAAAAGAAAGAAAATGTAAATATAGCATTTCTACCCTCAAGAAAGATGGGGTTTCTTTCAACTGCTACTTGATCTTAGCTGAGAGACACTATTTTGCTTAGACTTATGCTCTTACAAAATACTTCAGTCTGGCAAATAACCATAAAGGACTGCTAGTATGAATTGGTTTATAATGTTTTGAGTAACTTAGAAAATCTGTTGGGTAACAATTAAAAATTCTTTTATAGGGAAATGGATACTGCAAGAACACCTTTGAGTGAAGCAGAGTTTGAAGAAATCATGAATAGAAATAGGGCAATCTCAAGCAGTGCTATTTCAAGAGCTGTGTCTGATGCCAGTGCTGGTTTGTATATTTTTCAAGTATCGGTATTTCTTATTTATGTTACATGTATTTTTTATGTGCCCAAATCATTACATATGACTTTATTTGAAGAGCACTGAAGAAAGCTGTATGTCACAGTGCATATGGAAAGAGCCTCAATGTTGAACAGTTAGGTTGAAATTTAGTGCTAACCTTTGACAGTCAGTGGTTCAAAACTCTTAAAGCAGCTCATTTTTTTATTTGTAAAAATGATAACTTGTTTTATAAGCGATAACTCAATTTTATTATATAAAATGCTTTTGTAAATTTCAAAACACTTAAGCATTAATCTTCTGTAGTCACTTTAAAACTTAAACTGTATTATAAGATGCTTTTATTATTTTTACCCCCAAATGGTTTGATTTCAGACATTTCAGAAACAATATTTCCCATGAACTCTTTTCTTCTCCCCTGCAGGTGATTATGGGAGTGCTATTGAGACATTGGTTACTGCAATTTCTTTAATTAAACAATCCAAAGTGTCCGCTGATGATCGCTGCAAAGTTCTCATTAGCTCTTTGCAAGATTGTCTTCATGGAATTGAATCCAAGTCATATGGTTCTGGATCGAGGTAAAACTTTCCTGTCTTATTTTTTTTTTTTTTTTTTTTTTTTTTGAATGTGTTTGGTTGGTGCAGGATCTCACTACACACCTCAGACTTGTGGTGATCCTTCCACTGTCAGCCTCCTCAGTGCTGGGATTACAGGAGTGCACCACTAAGCCCAGCCACATGGCCAGTTCAGCCTGCCCTGGGGGCGGGGCTAGCGCATCATGTGGTGCCCAGGATCAAACCCCTGTTCCTCAGCTTCCCTAGTAAGGCACCTTAGTCCACTGAGCTAGCTCACTGGTCCCTTAATGTCTTTTTGAAATTGTAGTTAACAAAAGGAGACAGTAGTGTTTGGGTTTTTAAAATAAGATTTTTATTTCACTTACTGTTTACTCAGCAGCCACAATAGGTTTTTTAATACCAAGTCAAATGTCAGGTTATTTATTTGCTTAAAAATCCTTCAAAAGCTTCTGCTTAGAATAAAATTGTGAATTGGAGACACCATGTGGCTTCTGTTTCCTCTTCGGGTAATGTTTATGTTTTAGCCTCGTCTTGTACCTCTTGCCACACACATTGGTTTCCCTTTTTCTGGTGGACATGTCTAACATTTGACCTCCTCACTGACTTAGTGCTTGACATTCTTTCTGCTGGAAACCCTTTTCCTATCTGTCACACATTTGGCTTCATAGCCATCGTGTCTCAGCTTATTCTCATTTTGAAGAGTCATCTCCCTGGTTAGTCTGTCATATCATATTTATTTTTCATATTTCATGTGTGAAAATTTTGTTATTAATGGCTTTTTCCCCCTCATATGAGAACATCTTTAAATGATGAGAATGCTCTTAGCTATCCTTTAAACATTGCCTGATACAGAGTGTTTGTTGAATGAATAGATGATTTACTTAATATTTTTTTCTTTTTTTACTTTAGTAGTTTGTTTTTTTTAGCATTTCTTCTAATCTTGAAATTTTGTATATTTTGCTATTTAATCTTCACATAGTGTTCTTTTTTTTTTTTTTTTTTTTTTGTGGAACCAGGAATTGAACTCAGGCCTTGTGCTTGCCAGGGAAGTGCTTATTCTACTGAGCCATCTCCCCAGCCCCTCACGTAGTGTTCTTAAACCAGTCACAAGTGTACTTTTATCTGGAAGTAGAGTTGTCTCCATTAACGGAGGAAGTTTGTCTTGGGCGTGGCCTTCAACTCCGTGTTAACTAGTGTGACCCACTAAGGATCATTGTATCTGAACAAATTTGTCATAGCTAAAGATCTTAAACATGCATTGTCTTTAATATTTTAACTCCAGAGCCAGAAATTCTACATGATTGAGGAACTCAACATGTACTAGTGCTTCAGTCTAGCTGTCTAGTTCAGAAATGCATGACTTATAGACAGTTGTTAGTTCCTTTTTATGAGTGTAGAATTTCTAAGATGCTTTTTAGACTTTGAACTTTGGTTTAAAAAAATCTTTTTTAAGGTAGTTCTGCTTATAAAATACAACAGGAATGCAATATCAGTGCTCTCTACTGGTTGCAGTTATGAGGCATTTTTGCCTAACCTTCACCCCTTCACATTTAGTGGAGTGTAGATAAGTCATATTTTGGTTAGCTAAGAATGCAAAACAGATACTTAACATACAGTAGCCCCTTGATATTGAAGGGGTCGATTTTAGGGTGACTCAGGATCCTAACCTGCTGATGCTCAAGTTTCTTACATAAAATGCTTGTGTGTAATCTATATACATCTCATGTACTTTAATTTTTCCTCCCTCCTGCTGTTTACTTCTGTGTACTTAAAAGCATTTCTTCCTTTAAAATACCTGATGTAAATGCTATGGAAAGTCATTTATATATATTTTTTGTCCTTAACCTCACTTAACAGATTTATTAGTGATCACAAAAATTCATCATAGACAACTCACATTTCATTAAAAAAAATTTTTTTTTCTTCTTTTTTTGTGGAACCGGGGATTGAACACAGGCCCTTGCGCTTGCCAGGGAAGTGCTTATTTGACTGAGCCATCTCCCTGGCCCTTCATTAAAAATTTTAAGGCAAAAACAAATCTATAAGGTTGGTCAAAGGATAGAGACATTTTTGACAAACGACAGAGATGCTCCTAGCCCAGGCTCACTGTCGTGCTGCCCTGCCCACCCCAGCCCAGCCCCAGGACCGCAGGGCCCAAAGATGGCTGCCGTGAAGGCAGTGCCATGCCAGCCCAGTACCCCAGATCGTGGCTCGCTGGATCAGAAGCTAGCAGGGCTGTATGCTGCTCCCAAATGCATCTCAAGATGCGTCATTCAGTTTTCCTTTCCCTACAGCCCCCTACTGTCCCCTACTGTCCCCACACAGGAATCAGAGTGATAAGAGTAAGAAAGGGGTGAGCCACGGATTAACTCCCATTGCAGGAATTGCTTCAAAGCCCCCAGCCAGCTGCCGCTGTCTCCTCAGCTCTTCGCATTCTGTCTTTTTTTTTTTTTTTTGTGGTTTTTGAGACATTGCCTTCCTTCTGCTGGTCTTGGACTCACAGTGCTCCTCCTGCCTCAGCCGTCTTGAGTGCTGGGAGTACAGGTGTACGCCGTACTTGGTAAATGCCCTTGCGAAGTCCATATGATACTTGGTGAACTCGTAGGCCTCCTGTAGCTCTCTGGTCCGAAAGAAAACGTTTTCTGTCTCACTATGGCTTGGCCAGTGTTATCTTTTTTTTCCCTTCTCTTCTCTTCTGTTTTTTTTTTTTTTTTTTAAGAAAATAAGCTTTTAAAGTGCCTGCAAGTAGGCACAGGGTCTGGGGGCTCGATCCCCAGGCCTGCTGTGCCAGCCCTACCCCAAGGGGCACACGGAGGCAGCAGTTGAGATGGCATGGTGGTGCGCGCCTGTAACCCCAGCTCTCGGGAGGCTGTAAACAGGCGGATCACTGTGAGTCCAACCTAGTAGTGAGACCCTTCCCTAAAATACGAAAAGAAGAAAAAAGAATAAACTTAAAATATCACATTACCAACCTTTAATTTTGATTAAAATTTTTCCTGGAAGGGCTCTCTGACTGCCTATATATTGTTTAGGTATTAAACAATTTGCATGTTCTTGTATAGTTACAATTTTTTGCCAGATATTTTCAATCTGGTTAGTTGACTATGAATAGAGAACCCACAGATGTAGAATGTAGACAGCCATCCATATACATTTGGATAACATGTTACTAGATGGATAATATTTATGTTTAAGTTGTATTTTGGGGGATTTTTGTGAATTTTTTACTTTAAAAAGATCTATATTCTAAATGTTAATTTGACATTTTCTCTGTTCGTGTGTTTATTTAGTAACTATGATGTGTGTTTTAGGTTACTAATTTCAATAGGTGATACATATTTATATTTTTCAATATTTTATAGATTTATTTATTTATGATTTATGTATTTGGTACAGGGACTCACTATGCAGCTTGGCCTTGTAGTGATCTTCCTGTCTCAGCCTTCCCAGTGCTGGGATCACAGGCATGCGCCACCACGCCTGGACTGTTATCATTGGAGGTGCAGGGTCAGCATGGGGCCAGTGCAGCGTGTGGTGTAGATAGTTCTAAAAATGTAATTTTTGGTTTATGCTTATTGATGATTTAGTAGTCATCAGTATTTTTTTTTTTTTTTTTTTTGCTCAGAATGCCCTCAGGGCTTGTTTGACTGGCTGGAGAGTTGTGGGGATCGAACTAGAGCCACCTGAGCCTGACAGCTTGGTGGAAGCAGCCACTTAAAGTACTGAGCTAAGGCCAGGCCCCCAGTCATCAGTATTGACAGGACAGGATAGTCTCAACTATGCCACGATATTTTGCTACCTTAGATGTTTTTAAAACTGTATTACATAATTTTGTTCTTTTTTCTTGGTGGAACTGGGGATTGAACTCAGGCCCTTGCGCTTGCCAGGGAAGCACTTACTCTACTGAGCCATCTCACCAGCCCCATAATTTTGTTCTCGTAGAGAGTTGTTATATGACATAAAACATCAAAACATAGTGTCTCCGCTTACATGGCTGTGTTCTAAGACCCCAGTGGATTCCTGAACCGTCAGATAATTTGGAACTGTAAACCGGTGTCATCTCCATCTTAGCTAAGCACTTACACACTGGCTGTAACTTGCATTTTGAGGTGTTCCCATAAAAGAAGCACAAATTTCTTTTCATAGCTTCCTAGCAACTTCAGTAATGATGTTTTCTTAAGAAATCAAAAACTTCTTTTGCCTTTTCACTTGAGGAACCTTGTCAAAGTTGCAAATAGTATTACTCTTGTGTTTTGGGGCCATGGTTACAATACAATAAAGGTTACTTGCACATGAACACTGCTAACCCACAGCAGTCTTATCTAATCACTGAAGAGAGCTACTAAAGACTTATGGGCAGGTAGCGTATACAGTGTGGATGCGCTGCACCAAGGGCTAAGCCAGGACTGAGATTTCATCACTTTGTTCAGTATAATATTCAATTTATAAGTTACTGTTTGTTTTTGGAATTTCTCATTTAATATTTCAGGCCATGGTTAACTGAATAAATGAAAGCACAAATGGGGAGGGAAGCTACTGAGTATCATTTTAACTATCCAATTATGGAGAGCATTAATCCAGTAATTTCTTTTAGAAGACGTGAACGATCAAGAGAGAGGGACCATAGTAGATCACGAGAAAAGAGTCGGCGTCATAAATCCCGTAGCAGAGATCGCCATGATGATTACTATAGAGAGAGAAGCAGGGAGAGAGAGAGACACCGGGACCGGGACCGAGATCGGGACCGAGAGCGGGACCGAGAGCGAGAGTATCGTCATCGTTAGAAGGTAGGTATTCTTGTTCCTGTTACATTTAACGTGAGTATTATTAACAGTGATTATTATAACTCCAGGGCTGTTGTTCATACAGTATGTACCTACATTTAAATGATCCAAGTACTTGTTCTGGAAACATCTGAGACAAATAGCAGGTAAGTGATCACAGGTAAAAATTCTGACATTTTTATCCTTCAATGTTCTATTGATGAGTTACCAGTTCTTAGGTTTCAGATTATTAATGGTCTTAAAGCAAGAAAAATAATCAAGAGGACTCATTGTGCACTTCTAAAATCTACAAATTGAGAATTTTTTAATCATATACATAGTTTGCATATGATTTAAAATACTTTAGTGTGCTTGGATTTTAAAAAAAAAAAATTTATATTGCCTTAAGCTCATTTGTCCCTAAAACTTGTAAAGAAAGTTGAACACTGTAATAGTTTATAAATACAAGAGAATGTTTTCTCAACTTTGAAAGAGCTTTTTTTCTTTTAAAAAAAAAAAATTTAGGGAGTGGACTGTGTTCCTGGCATCTAGGTTTTGTTTTAGAAGAAATACTGTTAATTTGCAAAGAAAATATATGTTACTAAATTAAAATGGGTTCAAATTACAAACTTAAAATTTTTAAATTGTATCAAGCCCTGCATCCCCCGTTAGAATCACCTTGAAATAATTTTCTTTGATGTTTCATTCATAAACCATAATCATTGTCTTTTTTTCTGTATTTTACAACTATTTCTTGTGTACATTTTTTCATAAAGTGGGGAAAATTGTCTGTTTATACTTCATTTCCACATGTAATTTTATTTTTGTACTTGTGAATAGCATTTATTCATGTGAAGGGGGAAACTGAATCTTGTGTGTGTGACACAGAGGTTGCTCTATAAGCAAAAAGTTTTCTCCTTATGTTGGTGGCCTATCCACATTGAATTAGGATTAAAATACAGCATTCCTAGGTAAATCCTCTTTATCTGGTTATTTTTAGTGATCATGGAAGACAGTGAACATTTAGTTTTGGTAACTGTTAGTATTTAAATTGTAATGGGCAAAATCACAGGCTTTGTCGAGTGTATGTAACTGTGACAGAAGAGCAGTTCCTTTGGCCACGATAGATAAATATTAACAAATGAATCATTTTGAATAACACTTGTAAAAAATAAAGCATGTAAATCTTTTATGAAACACAAAAAGCTGTTACATTATTTGTAATTTTAAAGGCTTTTTGAATTGAGAAGGCCCATTTGCATTTTGAGTATATAGTTTAAATATGTATTAAAAATTCTTACACAGTTCATGTATTGTATTAAGATTTTAGTATGTCTCAAAACATTTTAATATGAGACAAAGCATCTTCCATTTTAAAAACTAATCTTACTGAAATTGGTCATTGCTTTTGGAAGTACAAATATTGTTGTATCATGTAAATCTAAGCACTAAATTTTACTGATGTAGCTTTTTTAAAGATGTAGCTTTTTATCCCTGAATTGCCATCTTTTGAAAAAAAATAATGTTCAGTAGTTGCTTACGGTGGTTGACCAGAGTATTTGAGATAGTTAACTCTGTAGCCATTTTATTTATAGGGTGGTTACAAGCTCAGTAAGTTATTTTTTTTTTAGACTTTTCTAACTTACCAACTTAGTTACTGAAGACACGGTTTTGAAATTTGAGTATTTTCAGTCATCTCTGAAATTGATGTTCCGTGGTACCCATCAAGGGTCTTCTAAATCAGTCTGTATTGTATTGGAGATTAATGACAGTTTTCTAGCTTTCTTAGTAAAGCTAGCATAGTCAGCCAAGTAAATTCTTATGAAAAGTCCATTGTTAATTTTAAATAGTTTGAATATACATTCTAGCATGAGTGGACCTAATATACATATATATATCATGACTTGAGTTTCATTACATTCAGACATTAACTATGAATTCCTCACTTGATAACTATTGTTGACATTTTTTAGTCACTGATGTATCATACCAAAATTCCCATGTTTTGTTTGTACATTAATCAGAATTGAGTTGTAATATTGTTATATGCCTTCATCCAAGCAAAATTTTACATAAATCTTTCCAATCAAAAAAAAAAAATTGTTATCCTGGATTATTGTATCTTTGCTACCCCAAACAGTATTTATTGTGAAAGTAGACATAAAATAAGGGTGGGGACCGGAATTAAATATATTCAAGTGAAATACTTAAAACTATTTACAAATTTTGTTACCAACATGATAAGGTCTGTTGTTGACCTCTTTAGAAGTTTTTAAATATGAGTCCTTTTGAGCTTTCATGTAAATCTTACATGGAATAAGTGGAGTAAGAGTGACTTGAAAGCTAAAGTGAATGTCAGTAATCAGTTTGTACATAAGTGATAATGTAATGTGTTATTAAAATGGTGATGAATGGCCACAAAGTTAAAAGTTAATGATGTTGGCAAACTGTTAATGTCTGTCCCATCTTATTTTTTTTTTGTGTTTGAACTGTTGAATAATGAATGTTAATTACATTCTCATTTAAAAATGTATTAGTTTTACCAGAAACATTCAATATCTAATTTCAAATAAATTATAATTTAATGAGAAAATATTGTAAATTGTAGTATGTAAATACATTGTGCTTATTTTGTATTTTTTGCCTCTATTCTGAGACCACTCTGAGCAAAATAAGTGATTTTAAATTGTATGTGTCTTAATGGAAATGATTTTGCTTTCATAGTTATTTTAAAGTTGTATTCTTACTATGTGTTGGAACAGTACTATTCAGCAAATTTATGTTTATGTTTTATACTGAAGAATAATTAAAACATTATTTTAAAAATACTCTTTACTCAGGCTTTCCCTCTCCCCATGTTACGAGGTTTTACGTATTCTCAAGCCATTATACCTTTATCAATGTTTTGTATATGGGGATCTGGATTAAGTAACCACATTTCCTTGATTGTGACCACTTCTGCCATGTGTATCATGCTGTTAGATTCTGTTATTACTACACAGGACTTAAATGCTTTGTATTGCTTAATTCAGTTCATTTTGTGTTAATTTGGGTGAAAACCTAAAAAATGTTCTTTACTAATGTTGGAAGATATTACATCTCCTTAGGATTTAGTGTTACATTGAGGCTTTTGTGAAAATCAGATTATCCTGGTTACCTGGCGTGAATGATGACTGGTAATAATAAGATTTAAAAACTATTTTTGCAACTCTTAGATCATCTGAGTCCTGCCTTACAAATCCAGTTATGTGTTTCCCCACACATTGTAGCTACTGTTTTGTCTGGATATTCTAGCTTTCAATACTTTAGCTCTAATTTCCTTGCTTTTAGTAATATTTGCAAACCCTGTCTACTGTACAGTTACTGGCTTGCAGTGACAAGAGAGGGTAGGAAGTGATCCCGTGGATGATGTGTTTTGCTCACTGTGGTTGAAGAATATAGTTTTGTTTATAAATGATTAATGCTTTGTTTAAAAAAGTTGAATGCTAATGTGAGTCACCTTGCTCTTTCACCTTCATCTCAGTGTGAAATTTACTACCGGTGTTTCATTCTGTAACTTAGATCTTTTTGAGTATTGTTTTGAATGAATATTTAGTAGTCAGTATTGTTTAATGAAAGCCTAATAACACCAGTTGAGGGCAAGGGTACCACTTATGCTATCCAAATTTATGAGTTTGTCCTCTTGGTAGGATGTTTGCACTGTCACAGTGGATTCTCATACCAAATAGCTTACTTTGAAATGGCTGTTTTGTGACTGTTTTAGGGGTAAAGCTGTTTTATTTTTATTTTTTCCTTTATGATGTAGTTTATTTCTAGTATTTAGTAGATTGCCTAAAGCAACAATTGTATATACATTTTATATTGAGTGAAAAAAATTTTTTTAATGAGGTAAGTACTATGTCCACAGATAGATTAACATGAAGTGTTTTTTTTTTTTTTTTTTTAACATGAAGTGTTTTGATAGCAAGGAACTTTCTGTAAACATCTACAATAAACAAAATTGCTTTTGTGTAGTATGTTGTAAGAAGACATTTATATTTAAAAGAGTTATTACCGTGTAATTTATACTGTTGTTTTTCTTGCCCACTTTATTGCCTAATCAAAGGAGAAATTTTCAGATATAGTAAACTTTGTTTCATTGAATTAAAAAGTACAACTGTACAATTATATAAAAAGTATTTTAGTTCAATCTATTTATATTAAAATCTATTTTAAAAAAGCTCTGTTTGTCTTAAAAGATGACTGCCATGATCTACTATTAATATACTTAATGGTATATTAATTACCTAAACATGCAGGCACTTCTCTGTGTTTTGACATTTTACTTAATGCTCACATTAATTTACAGATGCTGGGAGCACTAGATTTCATTTGTCATCTTAGTTGTTTAAATAGCTGTTGACACAACTTTTTTTTTAGTAACCGATAACTAATTGTGTGGCTTTGACATAGATTTGATGCACTGATTTTCTGAGAACATGAGCATTGAATGTATTTGTTACTCTCACGTTTCTTTTTGACATCTTTGTTTATGTAGATGTCTATTTAGACATTTTAGACTTATGTGGAATTGGATTATTGGAAATGGGTTGTATTGCCTTTAAATTTGCTTCCTTTTGAGACTGTAAAATTTGTATATCCAAGTGGATAAATAAATGTAAAATGTTGAGAAATAGAAATGACTATCCCCCAAATTTTATATCTGTATGGTGAAAATTAAGATTAATAGTGAAGACTTACCTATGAAGTATAATCAAGCAAGAAATAAGATGTATATTGTAACTTCATGAATAGGATTCACTATATGGAAAGTAGTAAAATTCTCTGTTGGGGTAAGATACAGTGGCAGTATGCAGTGTATGTTTTTTTGGAAGGATTAAATATTTTTGTGTTGCTCACTGATTTCAACTGATTTTAAATAATTTTTCCTCTTAGTGACCCTCTTAATCTGTTCAACACTACAGAAAATTTAAGTAAATAACATGTTTTTGTAGTAGCAAGGTTTATTGATTTCTCAGTTTTAAAATTAAAGCATATGCTTTATGTAATACTTTTATTTTTATTTTTTATTTATTTATTTTTTAAAATTTATTTATTGTGTGTGTGTGTATGTGTGTGGCCAGCTTAGCCCACCAGGGGGCGGGGCTGGCTGGCATGTGGTGCTGGGGGATTGAACAGTGGTTCTTGTGCTTTGCTAAGCATGTTCTAAGTAGGTGCTTTAGACCACTGAGCCATCTCACCAGCCCTATGTAATACTTTTAGAACCTTTAAACATTTTTTTTTAAATCTTACTTATGTGATGCAGGGTCTCACTACTCAGCTTGGGCTCATAGTGATCCTCCTGTCTCAGCCCCCCAAGTGCTGGGATTATAGGCATGCACTATCACACCTGGTTTCAGTGGCCAGCATTGTGTGCCCAGAGTTCCAGGGCCGGCATGGCATATGGTGTCAGGGACTGAACCTGCGTCCTTGCACTTGCCAGCAGGTGCTTAGACTACTGCTAAGCTATCCTAGCCCCTGCCAGCTTTTTAAAGTGCATTGCTTAGCACACCGTGTGGCCCTGGGTTTGGTCCCCCAGCTAGCTAGGTAGTAAAAAAGTAGACAGACAAATAGGTATCCCAAGTGCTAAGCAGTTGAGAGCTGACATTTTACATTTTTCTCTACAAAATAATTCCACTAAATGAGCTTTATCATTATAAGATAAAGGTAAAATAAAAGGTAATATTAGGAATGGCTTGTATCTTTAAAAAATACAAGTATTTTGAAATTATTTAGAAGAGAAAGATCTTGATTTTAACGTTTTTTTTCCTTGTGTAATAAGGTCTTTAAGTTTTTAATTGCTAGGCAATGTGTATGTGTACTGATGCCTTATAAATATGTTTTTAACATAGGGGAAAAGGGACATAGAGGTAAAACTTACAACTGTGATAGAAATTGTGGAGCAGCCAGACGCGGTAGTGTACTCTTTAATCCTGGCACTTGAGAGGTTGAGGCAGGATTGTTGTAAGTTGGAAGGCAGCCTGAGAGCTACATAAGAGATCAGGGCCAGCTTGAACTTTTATCTTCCACCACAAAACAAAAAAAAAAAGCATTGTACCCTTTAGACTCTTAAGTCACTTTTACAATGTCCTCCTTATATTTAAAATAGCTGGTGTTTCATTGATCATTTAATGCAAATTAAGTCTTCTGTGAACTTCTACCTGAAGTTTGCATAAATATGTATTAAGATTTTTAGTTTACCAATTTCCCTTTTTAACTTTATGTGAGTTTTTGATGAAGTTTATCATTACAGATTCACAGCTTGTTTTGGTTTAGTTTATGTACTATCTATATTAAGTATTCCAGTAGTGGAATAGCATGGAAGGGAATGTCACGAATTGTATTATGTCAAAAGATTTGTATGTGGATGTCATTTATTTAAATGTGCATACTGAGCTTTCTATTTATAACTTTTGTAACATAGAGCACTATTTGGTTTATAACAATTGCAGAAGTTCCTGTATGCTGTCAAATAAAGTCAATTTGTAAAATTTATTGCATTTTATATTCAGCTCAGCACTTAATTGTAAATGAGTTCATATTGAAAAGTATTTGCATTAAAGTCATTGAAGCAATTTTCCATTTTTGTAGTATGCATATTTTTAGAAACTGGCTTATAATTGTTTCCATCACCACAGAAACAGTAGCTGCTGCATTTTCATTTCTGTCTCAGTCATTAAATTTGAAAGACAATATTTAAGAAGAGTAAAGTCAGAATGTCTCATTCTGAATCTTCCAATGAATTGGGAGCGTTTCTCCCCAGACAGGCAGCTACAGTTTCCGTAACTTCTTACTTCGTGTTAGTACGTAGCAGAGGTGTAGCTGCACGACTTGTGTGTGTAGTTAAGCCAGCATTTTTCTGTGTATTATGGGAATAGCAAAATCTACATCACAAATTTTGACACATTACAGCTGAAGGAAGAGGAACACCTTCCAGGATAAAAGTCTTCATGGGGGAAAAGTGACGCTTGTCCAGCAGTTTGCTTCTTGTGATTGAACTGAACCTGTAAGGATTCATGGATAAACTGAACAGGAATAGATCTGAATAAAGCAAATCTGCATAAATGGTAACCAGTAGCTCTACTTTTATTTTTTATGTTGCTTAACTGTTTTATTTGAAGGAAACCTGTGTGATTAAAAAAGTTAATAGCTTTTGCAACTTTATTACTGGTTATATACATTTGGCTATTACAATGTGCAAGCAATTGGAAAAACAAAGTCAAGTAAATGCTTGTTTTTATAGTAGTTTGTTCTTGTTAAAACGTTCATATGATAATGTCTGTAAACAGCACCACTTTGATTACAATAGATGTAGTGTTGTAATAAACTGTTTAATGGGGCTGATGTGTAAAGCTGTTCAAGTTATTTGATGTTTACACCTCAGGGAAAGTCTTGTGTTCAGCAATATCTAAAGATAATGTTACTATGACAACATTTTTACTGTCTTTAAAAAAAAGCATTGCAATAGCATTTTTGGATATGCATCAATCTATTCATGCGTTCAGTGAATTAAACATAACTGGTTAATGTCTCTTGCCCTTGATTTTGATATTAGAATAGGTGATTACATGAATATTTAATATTTCTATATTCTGCTTTTCTAGCTGTTTTTACCTAGTTAGCTTGTGACTTTGCTGAATCGTATATACTTGTAAAAACTTACAACTCAACAGACATAGCAATCCAGTCAGTGTTCTAGGGGTCAAAATAATTTGAGGTTTTAACATTTTAGTAAAAACATAGTATTTACTACGGTAGTGCAGCTTAATTACAACACATGTGCACTGAAACACTAAGCTGTTGTCATTGAAAGATTTTGATAATTCTAACTGATCCTGTAGTATTTGGCATTTCTTATTCATTGATGGTGCTTATGGTTTAATTTTGAGACCATAAGTAGTGTAAATGCAGCCGTGCAGCAGATGAATAATGAGAGCTTTAGATCTGTTCCCCTCTTGGTATAGATTTCTGAAGGATGTGGTTTGTTAATACTGGCTGGTGTTCCCCGTTGTGAGTACTGGGAGATTATAGGTATCTTCAACAGTTTGAGGAATTCTGTGTGTATCCATGTAACCTGCTCATTCACACTAGAGTTAAAAGATTTTTTTGAACCTGCCTTATGTAAAGGCCTATATTAAAAACACCTGGCTAGCATGTATTCCTACTTGCAGAATTAGCAGAGGCACAGGGTCAGTATGATTAGGTATTTTTGTAGGAAGGTAATTGTGAATCACTAAGAAAGTTGAGTTAAAGCACTTAAATTTGTTTTTAACATATTTTAAAGATCTGATGATTGAGAGATATGGTAGCATACTCACTGATTTTTAAAGTATAACCAAATTTTGGGACAATACTTTATTTAGGTATTTAGGTACCTTAGATAATACATAGCGTCCAACTGTAGAAGCCCTCTAAAGATGTGCACTGCCATTGTTCATTTTCATCTGTCTACTCTCACACTACTCAAAACATTAGTAGCTTCAAATTATCCCTATTACCACGAGCTTTATTTTATGAGTGGAGCACTTGTGCATGGGATCATTGGTGTTTATTGCACCTGTTTGTCCTCAGAAACATTTTTTGGAGAGTTTTATCTTGTTGAAAATGCAGTTGCCTTTTTAATATTATTCCAGAGTTGTATCAGAATCTTGTTTTGTGTATAGTTGTACACTTATCATTTTTCTAGCTTTTGTATATTTTAATCATAATGCTCTATGTTGAAGACATTTGGACATACATATAACACAAAGGAAATTAGTTAGTAAGATTTAAAGGTAAGTAAAATATGAGAATAAAAATTTCATTGAACAATTTTAGAATGGAATCACAAAACTGTGCTTGAAAAGCAACTGGAAGTTTTGTACTGATTTAATCCTATAATTTACTTTTTCATTTTTTATCAGCGGAACTCTTAATTGTTCCTTCTGTGTCATTCTCCCTGTTTGGCTGATTGTATTATATGACTTTTGTTTTAGAGAGTCTGAGTGTACTAAAGTTATTTGCTGCTAGTCCATGATTTTAACTGTTGTCAGGAAGAAATGATTTCTTGGTTTGACCAAGTAATTTTGCAAAGTACTTCTTTGCCTGATAGAACATGAATGTATAGCAGTAAAGGTAAAAATTGCAAACCTTGTTTTATTTGTTTTACCCTGTCGTCGTTTATGAACTGATGTCATTTGAAAAAAAAAAAATTTAATGTGTAGGAACAATCCAAAGACATACATCTTTGCAAAGACACCAAAAAAAGAAGAGTGTGTGTGTCTTAGAGACCTTCTTTTCTTCATTTATAATAACTAATAGGTATGAAAACAAGTAAATTGAATTTTAAACCATAGCATTTCCATTAGTGCTATGTAGTCACATTTCTTTCAGCTAGCAGTACAATTATGGATGAGTTTACAGCACGTGAATGGTACTGCTTTTGAAGCAACAATTTGAATTGAATGTTCTGCTTTTGATTAAAGGAAGTATGTTACAGAAAGGATATTCCATTGTAAATTTACAAGTGTTTATTTTCATAAGCAAGATTTGGAGTAACTTGCTGTGACTGTTGATCATAGGTTAGCCCACTTAATGGCCCTGTACCTAGAATGTTCTTAAGCAGTTAACTATAATTTGGAGTTCAAGCTTAAGGTCTTACTTTCATTTGATTCTCCTATGGAGAATGCTGTTTTACTTTTTACTAGTTAAGGCCAGTTCTAAAAGTAAAATTGAGGTTAAAAGAATGTTGTATAATATTTTATAGTGAAAGGGGGAAATTATTGAAAGGGTAAAGAATTTTTCTTTCCCTTATGTATTCAAATGTGCCAATAACCTAAATATATACTGTTTGTATAATGAGATGCTACTACAAGGCTTTTATGTTGGAGTGCTCTTGGCATTTGGGTTTTCATACCTGATTGGTCATTTCATTTTCTGTATCTTATGGCTCAATTTTGTGTTTAAAGCTTTGGCTTAAATTATTTTAAGAGGAAGATTATGTCCTGATTCTATACTGAGAATGCAGTATTGAGATTCTCACTGTTTTATAGATAACTGCTTTTTCAATTTTATTCACTACATTTATTTGCATCCCATAGCCCTCTGTAAATGTTTCTTCCAGTTGTATGTACTTAAATGCACGCTTATCCATTGTACATATTAGACATTTTTTTGTGCTAAAATATATTTAGTGGGATTTTTGTAGCAAAGCATTCTATTTTTCTGTTTCTACAGTGTGTGTGTGTGTGTGTGTGGTTTTTTTTTTTTAACATTAACCTTCAGTTTAAACACTGGTGTATTCGTTTAATTTTTTAGTAACTTGACTCTTAGAAGCCTTAGACTTTTAAAATAAATATTCAGCCAAAAATTGTAATTATATGAAGATGTGGCCTTACATTAACATTCTTTGTGTTTATAATATGAGACTTTATTTAAAGGAACCAAGATTTAGGATTAAAGTTTGATCTTAAGTTGAAAGAGAAAATATGTTAAAAATGTCTAGGCTTCTGAGAGGAAGTTCTTGTACTCTTCTTTCTTGGCATAAGAAAGAAGCAATATGAACTTCTATGAATATTCAAAATATTCAGGCAGTTGTATCTGTTCAAATTGAATTAGGTATGTTTTAACTAATGTTTCTTTTAAAGTTTCAGGTTGTTGACATTCACTGAGTACACCACTATGGTTTTTGTGTGGTATGTGTAAATAGTTGGTTATGAATGGATTTCAATGTTTTAAAGACTTCCTACTACATTAACTGCAATGGAGGCTTTTAAAATACTAGGTTGAATCTAATTGAAGTCACACAAATCTTGAAATGGTAGCTTTGGATAGTAAACAAGAGCTTTTCATGTGGGAGTATCCTAAAACTCCACCATGGGTGTTAATGTTTTACATTTCTTTCATAATTGGACAGACCCTGCATTTAGTAAAGCATTTCACTTTGAAGGTTTGTTCTTCATTGCACTGTTACTGAGTAACACTTCTCAGCATTCTGTAAGCTAATTTTAAAATACAGTGGTAAATTCATGTTTATTTATTTTTTTACTTTAAGAATTGTAGTACTCAGGTGATATTTAGTAGGAAATAATATTTGGGGTAAATCATATGCATTTTAAGGAATGCATCTATAACACTAATAACTTTAGCCTTAAAAAAAGTTGATTATTCATTCTTTCCTCTACATCCCATGGTAAATTTACAAAATAGTTTACAGCCCACTGCAGCCTTAAAATGTTTCGCAATTTTTAATGAAAGCCCTTAATAACAACAAAAATTGTATATTACCAGAATCCCATCAATTATTGGTTCACAGTTTGTAAATAATTTATCAAATATTAGAAGGCCAAAGAAAGTCTTAAAATTTTAGCTATTGACTCTGGTGACTTCACAGTAAGATTTCTGTGCAAAAGGTAAGGTGGTTATTTGATCAAGTAGACATCTTTTTTTGTGGCCATGAGAGCTGGACTTCCATATTAGTTTCTATTAAAAGTCTTATTCTCATTTATTAAAATGTAATTACAATTTTGTTTAATGTTTACTCTGTCTTTTCTTTCTTTAGCATTTAGGTGACTGTTGAGCAGTTTGCTGTATGGCCATTGTTGGTCTAAACTGCACTGGTAACAAGCATGGTCTTGATCTTGTACTGAAAATAAAACGAAGTTTTCATAATACTTTGTGGCATGTCTTTTTTGATTCATAATTTGTTGGCTGTTGTGTATGGTTTAAGACAAAACCTATTGATAATATGTGGCATAGCACAATTAAAGACTGTTGTGTCTTGCGGGTTTCCTCTATACTGGTAGTTCGATGCTCTTGAAGCAGATCTGGCTATACTTAAAATTGAAGAACACAAAGCTTTCTAAATCTGAAATTCAGAAAGCATCGTCCAGTGTAGGGGACATTAACATATATATATATATATATATATAGCATTTGGTACAGTCCTGTTTTCAGCCTCCCCTGCGTTGGGATTACGGGCACACACCACCACGCCCAGTCTCAGTTGCCATCTGTGTGCCCCAGGGTGGCACAGTATGGCACACCAGGGATCAAATCCTGGCCACTGCGCTCTGCCTAAGCAGGCACTTTAGTCCACTGAGCTATGTGGCTGGCCCAGTATTTCTAGATCACAGCAAAAAAAAAAAAAGAAAAATTCCTTTTTACCAGTTACCTTGGAAACATAG